GGGGCCCAGCTTACATTCTACGGCAGCAAACCACCAGTCAGCCCCAGAGCGTACAGAAGCAGATGCATGCGCTGCAGCAAGAGGAGGAGGATGTGGTTGCTGCTGCTGCTGCTGCTGCTGCTGCTGCTGCTGCTTCTCTTTAATCTCTCCACTGCTGCTGCTACTGCTGCTGCAGCTGCTGCTGCAGCTGCTGCTGCTGCTGCTGCTGCTGCAGCAGATGATATTATCTAAGCCTGCTGCATGCACCTGCAGCGGTCGCAGCTCCGACAGCAGCCGGCCGTCAGGCCTAACCCGCCGCAGCAGAAAGGGGGCGATGAAGGAACGCGGAGACACGCGGCGAAGCAAGTCACACTCACTCATCTTCGAATGCTGCTGCTGCTGCTGCTGCTGCTGCTGCTGCTGCTGCTGCTGCTGCTGCTGCTGCTGTTGCTCCTGCTGCTGCTCCTGTTGCTGTTGCTGCGGTGGCTGTGGCTGCGGCTGCGGCTGGTTCTTGCTGCTGATTCTTGCTGATGCTGCTGCTGCTGTTGATGATGATGATGGTGTTGCTGCTGCTGCTGCTGCTCCTGCTGCTGCTGCTGCTGCTGCTGATTTTTTTGCTGCTGACGGTATTGTTGCTGTTGCTGTTGTTTGAACTGGTTGTGCTGGTTGTGCTGCTGATGCTGTTCGTGGTGCTGCTGCTGTTGCTGCTGCTGTTGCTGCTGCTCGTGTTGCTGCTGTTGGTGTTGCTGCAGCTGTTGCTGCTGCTGTGTGGGGTGGGAGTTGACTGTCCCCTCGAAGCAGCGCAGCAGCTGCTGCTGCAGTTCCGCTTGATTTGCTGCTGTTTCTGCTGCTGCTGTTGCTGCTGCTGCTGCTGTTATGTTCAGCGCTGCAGCAGCAGCAGAAGGGGCAGCAAGCGGCTGCTGCTGCTGCTCTAAGCAGGAGAGACGCTCCTGCCTTTTGTTTTATACTTATATAAAATAAAAATAAAATAAAATAAAATAAAATAAAATAAAATAAATAAAAATAAAATAAATTATATATTGCTGCTGTACATATACAGCAGCGGCTACTGTTCCTGCTGCAGTGCATGCAACGCATGCGCAGCTGCTGCAGCAGCAGCAGCTGCTGCAGCAGCAGCTGAAGTCAAGCTGCAGCAGCAGCAGCAGCAGCAGCAGCAGTAGCTGCTGCTGCTGCTATCCATAAACAACTAAAAATTTTATTTTTTTTTAAATAAAATAAATTCTGCTGCTGCTGCTCATTTATATAATAAAAAGATAGTCGTCGCCGTACCCCCCAATCCAAGCAGCTGCTAGCTGCACAAGACAAGCAGCAGCAGCAGCAGCAGCAGCAGCAGCAGCAGCAGCAGGAACAGCAGCAACAGCAGCAACTGCTGGAGTTGTTGCTGCTGCAGGTGCAGCAGCAGCAGTTGCTGCTGTCTCGCCGCCGCCGAAGGGGAGGACAACTTGACCTTTCTGCTGCTGTACTTTGTTGCTGCTGCACGTGCTGCTGCGTCTGGGTGAGACACGGGGGTCTCTGAAGATG